ACAGGCTGGGTCCCTCTACACACTCCGGCACCACAGCTGCACCCTCCCAGGGATGCTCCAATAGTTTGGGAAAGGCAGGGGGCTTGCACCGATGCTGTGCGAGGACTCACCGAGCCTCCTGAGGATCTGCAGTGCCACCGCCACCTTCACCTTCTCATGCCCGCTGCTGCCTGGCCCATCCTGCCGGACCCACGTGAACCCACTGAAGGGCACGGGACACCCTGGGATCACAACCCGACACCAGAACCGCAGCCAGCCGTTGGGGTTTGCCTGGACGCACTTGGTGATGAACAGGGGGCCCAGGCACTGCCTCTGGCACAGGGTGTTCAGGCGCTCCAGTGCGTTGCGCAGCACCGGAGACACAGGCGCCTGCTTGGGGACCTCCAGGCACTTATCCCTGTGCACCTCGCTGGATGATGGCTTCTCCTTGCACAACAGCAGTTTCTGCTTCAGGTCGGGGTTCAGCCAGCTCACCCTCATCTCCACCCCACTGAGCCTCACGTTCCCTAGAAGAGACCAGCAGCAGCTGGCAGGAGATGCTCATGCACCAGCCCTCCAGTATCGCCCCATCCCACCCCATCCCACCCCCCAGCACCTGGAGCAGTGACCCCCACGGGTGGTCTGGCACCGACCCCACAGCGTATCACACCACGCAGCCACAGGGCAGGTGCTTCTCCATCTCCTCCTGCTGCCAAGGTGGGCTCAGGGCTGCAGAGCCCAGGGGGTGCTGGGGGCAGCCTGCCTTTAGGGACAGGTGCAAAGACACGAGAGCCAAACGCTTCTCAGGCGGGGCAGAAACGTGTACAAACCAGGACTCTGGAAATTCCAGTTGGATGTCTGGGAAATGTGTCCCATCAGAGGGTAGTGCAATCACGGGATGGGGCACCGAGGGGTAGGGCATCTCCATCAGGGGGGCTTAATAACTTGGCCAAAGCTCTGGATGCCCTGGACTGGTGCTGGTGACACTCCGTCTCTGAGCAGGCAGCTGGCTGAAGACTTCCAGCAGTCCCTTTACCCCCCCAACCAGGTCTGCAGGAGGGCTGCCAGGGATCAGCCCCGCTGAGGACAGCTGGCCTCCCAGGGGACACAGGGAGGGAACAAAGGATGTCTCAAGGCTGAAGCCACCCTGCAGCTGAGCCTGGAGATGCGAGCAGTCGGGAAGACCAGCCCAAGCAGCATCCCACAGCACCCAGACCTACCACTTACCCTCTACCAGGGTTTTCTTGGCCACGGCAGCAGCCTGGTGTGAGCTGTATTTCAGCACAGCGAGCTGTGCCCATTTTTGGTAGGGACTGGTGTACAGGGTGACACTGAGGACCCCCTCCGTGACCCGCCGCAG